ATCAACATGATCATGCATTCAACGAGCCTGTTTACAAATCCATACGCAATTGAAGTCCTAAAGACTAAAAAACAAGAGCTAGTAGAAGGCATAAACGACCCGGACCATCTTCTGAACTGGCTGATAGACAATGGTATTTTTACCCCAGAAAAAAAGATGGTCATGAGTTTCTACAGGACAAGAACAGAAAAGAACTCTCGAGTTTTAGACATACTAATTTCGCAAGGTGAACGAGCCTGCAGGCTCTTTTTTTACCCATGTCTAAAGCAAGTGGAGCCAAAACTTTACAGCAAGATAAGAAAATATGTCAGTGAAGTAAATGAAAGCATTGGAGATGCTAGAAGACAATTGGTAGGATATTTACTCGAAAAAGACAAGGTTTGGTTTGAAAATAACAGTGAAAAGCACCAGGAAAAAGACAGTCCTAGAAGAAAAAAGCAGGGATGGGCTATTAAGAAGAAAGAAAAAGAAACTCAACTTTCAAGAGCAGCAAAACCTAGAAATGATCATTCTGATATCAGCATTTTTGATGCAGTTGCTAAAGGCTGTCTTTCCGAGTTAGAGAAAACATTGAGAGATAACGATATCAATGCACTAAACTCTTCAAGTGAAACACTTCTGCATGTTGCAGCCGCTAACGGACACCTAGCCATTATGGAATATTTGATCAGCAAAGGTGCAAAGATAGATGTGAAGGACAAGAAAGGAAGAACACCACTGCACAGGGCTGCTGAGAATGGCCACGGAGACGCAGTGAAAGTGCTTCTCCGATGTGGTGCTTGTATGTACAGTTTGGATACAGAAGGCAAAACACCACTTCACCTGGCCGCAGAGAGCAACCACAGTCATATACTGAAGATGGTCCTGAAAGAAGAGGAAAGAAGCTACAGGAACCAACACAACTTCTTGCACATGACAGCTCTTAAAGATGAGAGCAGTCTGGCAAAAATGCTTTTAAAGGCTGGTGCCTCCATTGATGGAAAGAATGAGAGAGGGCAGACTGCCCTTAGTTATGCTGTTTCTCTGGGTTCTGAAAATACTGCAAAAGTACTGCTAGAAGCTGGAGCCAGTGTTGATTACAACATGGTCGAAAGAGCCTTCAACAGCAACCACCCATCCATCTGCAAAATACTGCTAGAATATGCTAAAGATTTGTCATCTGACATAATGGAGTTGGCTCTTTTTAGAGCTGTACAGAAAAACCTGCCTGGCGTTGTAGCAGCTTTAATTGACAGAGGTGCAGATATAAACGCCTGCAATGAAATGCAGTACACTCCTTTACTCCTGGCGTGTGAAACAGGCAAAGCTGAATCAGCAGAAGTTCTACTTGAAAAGGGAGCAAACTTTGGAATAAAGACTCCAGCTTCAGACACAGCTTTGCACTTGGCAGTTCAAGCTGGGGCTGCTCCCATCGCAAATCTGCTCCTGCGCAAAGGGATGGAAGTCAACCTCGTGAACCAAAGCCATGAAACCCCGCTCCATGTCGCTGCACTTCATAATAAAGGGGCATTAGTTGGTCTTTTGGTTAATGCTGGAGCCAAAATTAATGCTGTCACTAAAGAGCTTGGTACTCCCCTGCGTATTGCAAGCCAAAGAGGTCACGCTGACGTGTCCCAAGAGCTGCTGCGCCACAAAGCCAATGTTAATGCTAAGGACAAGCAGTCAAAGTCCCCTTTACATTTTGCTGCTGAAAGGGGAGACAAACCAATGGTGGAGATGCTTCTGAAGGCCAACGCTGACCCCAATGCACAAGACAAGGAGAAAAAGACTCCCCTGCACATTGCAGCTGTGAGAGGAGACCTTGCTATGATGAAAGCTCTGTTAGCTAAAAAAGGAAGATTTGGAGCTAAGGACATGGATGGCTGTACTCCGATGCACTATGCAGCCATCAAGGGAAACACAGAGATTGTAAAAATCCTTCTGACATCAGGGAATAATAAAAATATTGATGATAGAAACGTTTGGAGAAAGACTGCCCTGCATATTGCGGCAGAACATGGGCACAGCGACTTGATAAATCTGTTACTGAGCTACGGGGCAGCCATTAATGCCTTAGACAGCAGCAAGGATACTCCGCTGCACTGTGCCTGCAAGGCTGGCTGTTTTAATGCTGCATATTCCCTCGTAAACTGGTCACAAGGAGAAAAAGCCAACTTGCTAGCTGCTAATAGTCTCAAAAAGACCCCACTGCAAGTAGCAGAATTTAATAAAACAGAAAATCAGGCTCAAATTGTAACACTTTTGAAAAAGAAAATGCTAATGACAAAATGAAGACGTAAAGAAAAAACTTGTAAATTTAAATGCAGAATTCACTTTTAATGAAATTTGGATAGTGCTGTTGCCCAGAATGATTGAGAATTATGTTAGGGCAGGAAGAATTAAGTCAGCCATAAAAGGTAGCCATGGAAAAAAAGGCTAATAAAGACACTATTAAACTTCTAAGCATTGATTAGTCTTTTGCTTCTCTCACAACTCTCATACTTGGAAGCTATTTAAAAATTCCCAACCTTAAACACATTGTGTATGATCTCTTCTAATATAAATTAAGACTTTGAAGAAAAAAAAAAAAGAAAAGATAGAAAACAACCTTTAATTTATCTGTGAATATTAGTCTGCATGGATAGCCTGGCTAAGCACTGCTTGGTAAAATTCCATTTTTAAAAAGCCATCTATTATGAATAAGGAGACACTCGTATCCTCGAGGATATAGAGCATAGAGATGTTGGAGTAGATAATGCTAGTTTTGTTTAGCTTAGGTGGACCTAACTGCCGAGCACTGCCAAAAGAGATTGATCTGCCCTCCCTTTCAGTCGGGTCATGCCTGCCTGCTCCAGGTTGTATGCGGGAGCTGATCCAACTCATTCCACAGCTATAACTGAACATGGGGAGCAGCAGGGAAGCAAACAGCTGAACTGCCCTGGCTCTCCTGAGGGCAGTGTAATATTAGCTTGGTCTATGCGGATTACAGTATTGCTCTCTGAGCTAACTGGAGATCAGAAGGTATCTCACTGCAAATTTACTGGTCCTAACTGCCAAAAGAGATTGATCTGCCCTCCCTTTCAGTCGGGTCATGCCTGCCTGCTCCAGGTTGTATGCGGGAGCTGATCCAACTCATTCCACAGCTATAACTGAACATGGGGAGCAGCAGGGAAGCAAACAGCTGAACTGCCCTGGCTCTCCTGAGGGCAGTGTAATATTAGCTTGGTCTATGCGGATTACAGTATTGCTCTCTGAGCTAACTGGAGATCAGAAGGTATCTCACTGCAAATTTACTGGTGCAGGGTTGCTCTACTTTGGAGATACTAGACTCATTCCCCACACTAATACATTCTATCCAGAGGATTGGTATAAACCTACCAGAGTAGCATGTGCCCAAAACTTTGCTAAAACAATGACACCGTTTTCAGGATGCTATTATGTGCTACACTGACATTCAATATTGGACTGGAGCCTCTTTGGACATTTCTATCTTATACCTTATGACATGGCATTGACATATCGCAAGACTATAACAATTATTTTTCTTTCTATCTTCCATCACACCATTTTTCTAGATTTTGCGTTAAGTAGCGATCATGAAAACAATCGTATTTGCTGTTTATTAATTTTACTTTCAAATCAATTCCAGCACAAAGATGAAATGTTCAGAATAAAACGGTTGCAAAAGAGTTTATTGGTTCAAAATATTTGTACTGTCACCTCTTAAAACAGAAACACTTTCTTGAGTCGACGGAAGGTTCTCTGTGGTCACTGAACCACACTGAACCACCCTCATGGCTCTTCACACGCCCCTTCAGTATACGACTAGAAGCCCGATTACCATGAAATACTTTTTGTGGAACGAAACGCAGATTTATGAAGGGAGGGGAATAAAACGGTGATTTTTTTATAGCCACGTTACAACACTTGGACTCTCACAACACCCTGCTGCTGTCATCTTCAGAACGGAAAGGCACGACTGCACGCTCGGCGGTACACAGACAGCACAACCCACACCTGCAGCACGATGCCCCGAAATAGCCTCCTTCTTCCGTCAGCGCATCGCGCTTCAGCGGGCCCGGCTTCACCCCGGCCAGCTCGCAAACCGCCATCACCCCAGCCTGCTTCAGCAGCCGCCTTTCAGCGGGAAAGGCGAATCGCCAGCCGGGTTTCCCTCCACCCTGAGGCGCGGCCTCCCCCCTGGGATCACTCCCATCCCCTCAGCGAGCGGAGCGGCCCGGAGGAGCAGCAGCCACCGCCGAGACGCGCGGCCTGCGGCCTCCCCGGCCCGCTCCTTTCCCCCTCACAGCGGCGCTTCCCCTCTCCGCGCCCCGCGCTCTCCCGTCCCTGCCTGACGCTCAGCCCTTTCCCCTTCGCTCGTACCCTGGGAGCTGCCCCTCGGCGGCCGGCTCTGCCCTCAGCTGCCCCTCGGCGCCCCGCCTACCCCGGCGCCATCTCTCCGCCTCCTTCCCGGCTTCTCCTCAGGGCGCAGCTTCACGCGGCCCCGCGCATGCCCACAGGCCGGCGCGCGACGCTTCCCGCCTCTTCTCGCGAGATCGGCGGCGGCCGGTGTCATGGCGGCGGCGGCGTCGGAGGAGCTGGAGGTGGACATCGAAGGCGACCCGGCGGCGGCGCCCGGGGAGGCGGTGGCGGGGTGAGCGGAGGGCTGGTGGTTGTGGGGAGCGCGTCCCTTCTCCCCCGCCTGTTTGTGAGGGGGCGGCGAAGGGGAGGGCGGCCCCGAAGCCCCGCGCGGTGCCGCCCCCGCTGGCTGAGGGGGCTGCCCCTGCTGGGCCTTGCTCGCCTGGGGCCTCAGGGGAGAGACCTTGAAGTCTCATTGAGCTGGGGGCGGGGGGGAAGGGGGAGAAGAAGCGCTAATATTGATCATCATCAGGCAGGGCAGTGAGAATGCGGCGTGTGAAATCCGTGAGGTGAGGTGAATGCAGAGCTGCTGTCAAAGGATCCAGCAGTACATGAAGTAGGGACACTAGGTGGTGAGGCTGCTGGGAGGCTTCTTTAAAAACATATAGGTAGAAGGTACAGTGTTGATAACATATTAGGAAGAAATTATTTTCTGTGGGGGTGGTGAGAGCCTGGAACAGGTTGCCCAGAGAAGCTGTGGCTGCCCCATCCCTGGAGGAGTTCAAGGCCAGGCTGGATGGGGCTTGGAGCAACCTGGTCTGGTGGGAGATGTCCCTGCCCAGGGCAGGGGGTTGGAACTCAATGGTCTTTAATGTCCCTTCCAACTCAAACCATTCTATGGGTTCAGAAAACAGTGCAGTGAGGGTCAGAAAACTGATTCAACAAATTAATGGACAAGGGTTCCGTAAACAGATACTGAAGCGAGTAATGAGAAGCAAACACTTCAAATCTATCAGCTGCAGATTCTGTGAGTATTAGAGAATGGTGTCACAGATGGTGGCTGGACTCACGTGCTGTCCTGGAGTAGCATCTGCCGTTGCCACTGTTGGAGACACAATACTGTGCAAAGGGACTATTGATCTGACCTGTTTCTTAAATGCTCCAAAAGAAGCGGGAATTGTACTGGTTTCTGGCTGTACGTGAGGATTTATCCTTACCTGTAAAGAGATGTTTGAACTGCTGGTACAAAGCAGTTCAGAACAGTAAGTGAATTTAATTTTAGTAGCACTGCAAGGGATAAATTAGTCTTTAGTTAAGTCTGAGCATTCAGGAAGCAAAGAATGACAAAAAAAATACATTAATTACGAAGGAGATTTTGTGCTGCATCAGAATAGAAGAAAGTTGATCAATGGTGTTAATCGGTGGTAGCTTTCTAAAAGTAATAAGTAGTTATTTACAGAAAAAGATCAAGCATAATCTGGATGAAGTCTGTAATAGCACTAACAACCCCATATGATAGGATTCTATTAAATCTTGTGTAAGTATGAGCTTTCCTCAGGAGGAAATCAGATTTTTCTTTATAAGGGAGTGTTTTTACCTTACTGGGGGAAAGATGTAGAAATGTTAAGTGGAGATAATAGAACTCAATGTTGCTTTTAAAATTAAAAATACACTTTTTAAATTATCCATAGAATTCTGGCTTCTTTCGTTTGTTTATATTTTACACAAATTACATTCCTGCTTTCAGTCTTTCTGGATGAAAGTTTTTACTCTTCAGGGCCTCACTGGTATCTCATACAGTCTGCAGTGAGGTAGGTGAGGAGTTGCTACTGAGATTACTAGAAAAGATGTCTTACTGAGGGGGATTTATGCTAAGTCTGATGAAATATTACAAGAGTATAACATGATATAGTAGTCTGCAATGTATGATTTTAGTTTTAGTGTCTAATTCTGGCATCTGTTAAAATTTTTGTTACTACACATTATTTTCACTCTGAGAGCATTCATTTTTTTCTGAATGTCAGTTTGCATTGTTTTGAACACTGGAATCTTTTTCAGAGATCATGAAAACACAGCTTCAAGCTTGCTGCAGGATCACTATCTTGATTCATCTTGGAGAACTGATAACAGTCTTGTAAGTATGTTTTAAATGAACGGTACTTCTAGCAAGGTTATCAGAACTTCTCTTTCCTCCGTTCTTTTCATTCCATGTATGTGCTCTTTTAGGTTTTTAAGCAGTGCTTTTTGCTTACTTAGAAGCTATTATATATTGATTCTTGATACTGAAGTTTAACATTGTGACAGAATGAAAATATTAAAACATATTTGTATTTTTTGCAGCCGTGGACGTTGGACAGCAGCATCAGTGAAGAGAATAGGGCTGTCATTGAGAAAATGTTGCTGGAAGAAGAGTATCCTTTTGCTGATTTACTTGTATGTTTTTTCTCTAGAACGATAGAAAACTTCCTGTTTCCAAAGGAACTGGACAAATCTTTGCTTGTTAAGGTGACTGAAGCACCTGAAATTTTGTAGGTAGATTGCAGAAGTCAGGGAGGACCCCTGAATTAATCCTTTGGCTCCTGCAGCTTCCTCTGGTGCTTCTGGTTGTTTGGAAGATGACTCTAAAGCTTGTCAGATTTAAGCTGACACTGGCACCAAAAATAGTGATATTTGTCCCCACTTCAGCTGCTTATTCGTTGTGCTGATGCAGCCATTTGTATGGTTTCAAACAGCTGACCTGGCTGAAAACAGCTAGTTCTTTTTGCTGGGTTGTTCTTCGCTGGGCCTGGTTTACTCTTGGATTTTGTCTGGCTCCATTCATACTTGTGTGCAAGATGGAAACGGGAAGGAACAGCTGCTGCTTTTTTTATTTTCCTCCTCTTTTTTTAAAGCGGTGTTGTCCGAAATAGTCTTACCATTAGTAGCATTTCTGGCATAAGTTGACCTCAGCAGACGAGGTAACTTATCTCAATAATAATCACAGGCTAATTTATTTCTATGTTCTTTTTGTAATTGAGTGTAGTAGTAGTCAGTAGTAGAGGAACAAGAAAATAAAGCAGTTAATTTTTCCTAATATTATTAGGAAAATTATTTAGGCTTAATTTGAAAATAAGGTATCAGTATGCTGAAAATTCCTTTATTATGTTTTTTAAGTTAGAAAAATGCTGTTGTAGAAACAGGATATCTAATTTGCTGCAAGTAAAGTTAGCACAGGGGTTTGGCTGTCAAATGTCACTTCCTTATGCATTAAACGAGTAGGAGTGTGTGAAATTGTGTGTATTCAGTTTTGAAAGCAGTGCAGTACTTGCTTCTACACAATCATTATGAACCAGTAGAAGTTATACGATGATTAGAATCCTCACGTGTACAAATATATGCTCTGATGCTTCAAAAACTTACTTAGTAACTGTTTCAGATATTATTTGTCTAATAAGTCGCTTTCTGAAAAAATATGGCTCAATCAAAAGGAAGCAGAGAAAAGATCTCTGAAAAGGTAAGCTGTGTCGGGGGAAAAATTCTCAGTTAGATGAGAAGAAATGAATAGCCCTTCCAAAATGAGGTTAATTGCTGAGATATGCAGCAGCATTGCAATTATTAATTTTCATTTTCACTTTGTTTTTTATTTGCAGCCCACATAAGAAAACAGGAAAAGTCATGTACGTACCTTTCAATGATTAAATTGCATTTTTAAGAGTGGTATCTGTTTTTTATTAAATTACTGGACACTATTTAAAAAAAAAGTTTCAGTTCCTTAGTTCCTCTCGTTTGGCTCTGCAAAATTATTTAAGACACCTTTCAATGCAAAGAAATATTGTTGTGTGTAACAATAGGCCTGTAGCCTATTTTTTGTAGAACATTGGTCTTTATGAAAAAAAAACCCAACCCAAAACTTGTTAATTCTTGTTGGCTTTTTTGCCTGAACTTTTCTGTTCGCGCCTTCTGTGTATTTTTGTACCATTAGTTACTGGTGAGTGTTGTGTTGCCTTGGATCTTCTTTTATGATGGAGAAGGTGACATGACTTGATATCTCATTTATCAGCCACATTCATGTTTAAAACAATACCTTTGAGTTTTACAGAAGATGGGGAGTACTCCTTGCCTTCAATTACTGGGATTTGGGAATATATATTGTTAAGAAAGCACTAACTTCTGTTTCCTATTTTCCTAGGGTGCGATCACCGTCCTGCAGTCAGAGTTGCCTTCAATTACTGGGATTTGGGAATATATATTGTTAAGAAAGCACTAACTTCTGTTTCCTATTTTCCTAGGGTGCGATCACCTACAAAATCAGCAAGCTACTCATTAAAGTGGACAACAGAGGAAAAAGAACTGTTTGAGCAAGGATTGGTAAGTTTTTTTATATATGTAATATTTTGAATAGAAGTCATTAGTTTATCTTAATTAACAAAATAAGAATGAATATAAATCAGCTTCTGCTTTTGTACTTACAGTATCAAAAATAACTGCCACTTCCTAAGAGTGTAATGATAAATCAGATTTATATTAAATAATCCCACAAAATAGCTTTGTTTACTAGATTTTGTTCGTGTGAGGCTGATGACAATTTGAGATCACAAAATACCTCAAATATACAGCTTTATGAATTGTATAATCATAATGCTGTAGTTAAGCATACACTATGCAAATCAGTTAATAAAGTGAAATCCTTTAACTACTATTGTAACATCTTTAGAGACTACATTTTATTTTCTTCTTGATGGAATACATATAGGGAGGTTCTTTGCATTGGGTTTGCTGTACTGTTTGTGCGTTTGTAGTGAATAATTGAGTTTTAAAACTCTTTTTGGCACATAAAGTGCAATGTCTGGAATGTTAGAGTTCAGGTAACTTTAAATGTGCTTTGTTGGACTAGGTGAAATTTGGCCGCCGGTGGACAAAAATTGCCAAGTTGATTGGAAGCCGTACTGTGCTACAAGTGAAGAGCTACGCTCGGCAGTATTTTAAGAACAAGGTAAGTGGAATAGCTCTGTCATTAGCAAAAAGGCTGTTTGCCAACCCTGCTGTTGTACATGTAGCTTGATGTTAACCTGTCTTTTCAGGGTACTGTTGTTAGAGTATATATTCTGTTTATTCCCATATTCACAAAAGTGGAATATGCTTATTTGCAGATTTAAATGCGAGGTTGGACGTGATTTCAAATTCCTAGAATGCCTTCAGTATTTTTATTGCTGGTATAACTAAACATAAATGTAGTTGTAGTCTCTTATACTGTTGGTGGTTAGTCTGAAAATATTTGTTTTCCCACTCTACAGCTGTTTCAGCTGTGTGTTGTATTTTTAGCATTAGCCTCACTTGAGACTTCAGGGGCATTTAAAAAGAAATTACTACTGTCAGTTGGGGTTTTTATGAACCGAAATACATAACTCATTTACACTTAGGCTAGAAGTAAACCTATAATGTTGCATGAAAGTCAGTTGCAATGGAATAAAATGTATTAAAAGGGTAAGATGAGCGAGAAACGCTTCAGAGTGTCTGCTGTTCAAGTCAAATAGTTCTGATTATTCGGAAGGTGGAGGGATTTGATTTGTTTTTCCGTCCTAAAAGTATTTTGTTTTTCCAAAGGCAAAAAATGGTGATTCTGAAAAAGAAGAGCAAGGCCAGTGTGGTAGCAGTCTTCCCATTGAAGATGGGATAAGGGTAGAAGCGTGGTCGTCTGGAAACTTGAGAGGCCGCGCAGACCCCAACCTGAATGCAGTGAAAATTGAAAAGCTGTCTGATGATGAAGAAGTAGACATAACCGACGACATGGATGAACTAATTTCTCCTACCTTCCAGCAAGAAACTGGAAAATCTGAATTATCTGTTCTTTCAAAAAGTCCACTTGAAGAAACGAAAGGAACGGAACCTGCTCTTTCATCTGTTGGACACAGTTCTGCAATTTCTTTACCTAAAGAGGATCCTCAACACACCAAGCAAGATACGGTGGATGCGTTGGTATTTCCAGGTGTTGCAGCAACGTGTTCTCAGCACCTGAATGGTGATAAATCAGTGAATTTAGATTACCAGCAATGCAATAATTTTATTGAGAAAGCTGAACAGGGCAGACGAGTAACATCTCACGGCACTGGACAAGTAACTGATGGGGAGCCTAATGAGGAACAGAGGGACCTGACTGATAATGGATTGCTTTTTCCTTCTCCCTGCCAAGTGGATGAAGATCATCAGGAGGAAGCGGAGGAGCTTAAGCCCCCTGATCAAGAAGTGGAGGTTGACAGAAGCATCATTCTGGAAGAAGAAAAGCAAGCTATTCCCGAATTTTTTGAAGGGCGCCAGGCCAAAACACCAGAGCGTTATTTGAAAATTAGGAATTATATTTTGGATCAATGGTAAGATGCATTAATTTTTACATCTTTACTGAAATAAGTGATTAAGATGACTCATGGCCTGCTTTTTTTGTAATTAAAACACTACTTAGTACCAACAGCTTACTTATGAGAAGAGGAGAATTAATTTTAGGTAGCATTATAAAGATTGCCAGTGGACAGCTCTGTTTATTAATACTACTTTTGCATCTTCCTTTTTTTTTCCCCCCCTGGTATTCTGGAAGCTAAACAATGAAAAGACTTTGAAGCATTATGAAAATGAGTGTCCTATATCAGAACAAGCTGCATCCATTTTGGTTATGTTGTTTGCTTCCAATTTTTGTCATCCTCTATGTAAGAACGCATATATGGTTTTAATAAATGGTTCCTCAAAATAATCGATAAAATTAATTCCATAATGAGGTCTGTAGCATTGTAAAACTGCCTTTACAGAAGGGCAGCTAGAAGAAATAGTCTGTGCTGGAGCAAATAATGTTGACCAAAAAAATACTTCAAATTAAGAATCAATTTGGAGTAGTGCTTGTGCTCTTGAATATTTTATATTCCATCTCCAGAGAATCAGTTTAAAGAACTTGAGTGATTTGTGGCCGCATGCTCAAAATACAGTTTGTTCTGTTAACAGTTTTGTTTTGCATCCTCACTGTGTTGGTTACTTTGGTTTTAAGTAGAAAGAATTAGAGAGTTTAACTCTCGTCATTCAGTTCTCTTACTCATTGACAGCTGCTTCTAGTTGCAAAGAAGCTCTAAAATTCCATTTTATTTAAAATTCCCCTTCCAAGAAGCATTGAACTGAAACGATTCATGAGTTTAGAAGCAAGTAGTAAGTGCATAGAGTGTGAAACCAGGCTTATTTATTATGCCAAGGAAGCCTATGATTATTGGAGCTCTTTAGACTAACCTAATGCAGACGTTCTTAGATCAGTTTGACAGTATCGTAGTACTTCTGAGTAATTCAGTGCTTCCTGGCACCAGGCGTGTTCAAGTCACACAATTCCTTCCTCCATGTTTTGTTTTACTGTTTGACAATGTGCTGTACTTTATTTTAGGGAAAGATGCAAACCCAAATACCTGAATAAGACTTCAGTACGTCCAGGCCTGAAGAACTGCGGGGATGTTAACTGCATTGGACGGATCCACACCTACTTGGAGTTAATAGGGGCCATTAACTTTGGCTGTGGTAAAGATATTTTTATTGGAATCAATTCAGAACTTAAATTCTGTCACTACTTTTCATTAAACTGAATATTTTCCTGTGAAGGGTAAAGATTAAGGTTAATAGATCTGTGTTTAAAAGAAAAGCCGTGAAGTGTGGATGACTCCACTTAATCGGAATCAAGCATCCACATGGATAATCTTCCAACATCTCTGTGATCTTAATGTCTTAAATAGTAATTGTTGTTACATTTCTTAGAAGAGAATGTTTGTTAGGACTGTGGTTGGTATAGTTGTGTTCCAGCCTATGTGGCTGTGGCCTGTTGTGGTATTAATGGTGAAGGACTGCTTGCACAGAAGGGGACAGGTTAATCCTTACTGGGAAGGACCTTCTGAGCAGATCTTCTCTCCTGTCCTTTGAAATTCTAGAGGAGTTTGTAACCTTCTTACAGGGTTAAGGTTTCTAGTTTTACAGAGGACCTTTTTTATCTCACTCCCTCTCCCCGTTACATTTACTGCACACCAGCTGCTGGGGTGGGGTTTTTGTTTTGTGCTTTTCTGTGTGTCCAGTGTTGGATTATTTTTTTTCCCTGGTAACCTGCTGTATCTGAAATTCTGCCCTCTCTCTGCATAACACAGAATTCAAATATTGTTTCTTATCCCATACTGAATTAGAACCATTTCCTAAATAAAAGCCAATGTCTTCATCCTCAGGGCTAGTTTTTACAAGATTCAAATGCTAAAATTAGGTGATGTTGAAAATATATGTACACCTATAAGTAGCTGTTGGTTGAGTCTCTCTGGATTGATTTTGGTGCAAAGCTGGATGACAGTCCCCGAGGAGAGGAGGAACAGCCTGCAAATATATTTTGTCTGAAATAAATTAGCAAGGAGGAGGGAGGCTTTCCTGTTTTACGAGTGCTGTGGTAGTGGGAGAGGGCTGTATAACCCGTCAGTGATGGACCATCAGGAGATTGGGTTTTTTTGTTGCTTTTTTCCTTATGGCGTTTGTCATTACGACTTATCTACTGTTCTTGGCTCTGTACCAGAACTAAGTGGCTTCATACTTTGTTAAGTAGAGTGTCTGTCTCTTCTGTACCCCCCAGAACAGGCGGTCTATAACCGACCCCAGCCGGCTGACAAAACCCGCTCCAAGGAAGGCAAAGACACGGTGGAGGCCTACCAGCTCGCTCAGCGCCTGCAGTCCATGGTACCTTTTGGTGTTGGGGGGGTGGGGGCAGCAAAAAAACCTCCAGCACGGAGAAGGTCTTTTTGATCTCCGTTTTCAAGCCAGAGCATCTCAGGAAAATTCTCCTCTCGTCGAGTTTGCAGTTTCATTAGCAAGCCTGGTAATTAGAGTGTCAGTCTAAGTACAAGTCCTGCTCTGAGAGGTGTCTGCCCTGGCTTCTGCTGTCTTACACATTTGATTTCTGTACAATTACTTAACTACAGTTGTGTTTCAGTCTGTTCCCTGCAGCCCCCACCCTTCCTCCCCACCTCTCTGGAATTTATTAGCCTGAATTAGCCAGAAAATAGCAGTGTGTGTGATCAAGTTGCTTGCATTTGAACTGTTAAGCATATAGGACAGGACTTTCTGAGAGCCTTATGCCCACAATTAGTAGTAACTTATTTATAACTACATGAATTACCAAGGCCTGCCACATTTAATTTTCATATTTGCAATTAATGTAGCATTTTTTAAGTACTTCACAGCAAGATAAATCAGTTGATGAGAGGAAAACTACATCGATCCCACTAAAAACAAATAAATTGAAATATAAAGAAGTGTAGGGTGCACTAGATGTGAACATAGTGGTTTTATAGCTCTTAGTGTTGTCTGAGCTATAATTCAGAGCTGGATAATAATGCACCGTTGCTGTCAGAGCTGATGATCCACGGAGCATCAACCAGGTGTTACGCTTTGCAGCCTTAAAAACAGAAACCTTCCCTGGTGATATTTCATGACAGCCTGTGAACTGCTTAATTCTGCAGAACCCCAGGGTGCTCTTGCTTTTCTGGAAATATGGCAGGGTGTTAGTAATATTCATGTGGCAGTAACCTTGTGGAGGATGTTCCTATGGCTGATTAAATGAAGTGAGTGCAGGTTTTTCGGGAGCGTGACGCTTGACTCCCAGTGGTTTGCTCCCTGCAGCGCACGAGACGGCGGCGAGTGCGAGACCCCTGGGGAAACTGGTGCGATGCAAAGGACCTGGAAGGACAGACATTTGAGGTAACCCTTCCGCCTATTAAACTTTCCTTACAGAATTAATTCTTGCTAATTTGCTACCAGGTGGTGTTGCATCGAATATACAAGGGAAACGCTCGTGTACGAGGTGCTTAACCTCTCTTTGTGGCAGCAATAATTGGAAAATAATGGAGCAGCTGGTACATCTTTATGCTGCTGATAAACACAACTGCACTGTGGTATTTCCAGTGACGTTCCCATTGTATGTACCACCCTACACTGGTTTTTGCCTGTAAAGCTCTTTGCTTGTCTTGTAGGAGATTTCATGACCCTTTGTTTACAGTTAACTGCCTTCCTAAAGCTAACAGGAGGGGACAGGAGAATAACAATAATTAATTCTGCCACTAGCAGTATCCCCAGAAATACTGTGGCTTATGAAGTGCTTAGGAAAATTCATACAAATGTTAAATGTTTTATAGAAGACTTGGAAAGAAAATATCTGTTTGTCCGTTCCTACCATTTTAAAATATACCAAAGGTGACAAACTGTAAACATTCTATTTTTCCTGTATAGAAATCCACTTAAATTTGCAGCCTTCAGTGATATGTATCTCTAACAATTGCTTCCAGAATGTTTTGAGTAACTGTGGTTAATAATTCTAACACTTTCTGAAAAATATATACTCGGGTGGAAATAAAGTTTGAAAACCCTCATCCCTTAAGAGGAGTCAGGATAAATTCTGGCCATGGGTTGTAGCTGCACATTTTCTCCTTAGTTATCACGCTTGGCTTTGTGCGTGGTTTGTGATATGGGCTGTTGTGATTTTACTGAATTTGATTGACTTGAGGATGTAAGAATTCTCTCATGGATGGTTTTGTGGAGGAGATCTCTGATTGTCATTACTTTCACACTGTTCTGCTACGGCTGTTCCCTCTGTCTCGTAGTCCTGTAGCCCACACAAACTGAGAGTGTATCAAGAGGACACTAATGGCAAGAATTTATTCTGGGCTGGTTTTTGGAATCGCTACTGAAGGGACACTTAAGACATTAAGACAGATTTCATCTTTTTAAAATTGTTTTAGCATCTGTCCGCTGAAGAATTAGCGAGAAGAAGAGAGGAAGAAAAACTGAAACCTGCAAAATCTTCTAAAGGTTCAAGACAAATAAAAAGGTATTGTGTGACGTACGCCGTGTTCAAACGTAGATCATCTAGAAATGGAACAAAAATCTTGGGTTGTGTCAGGCTGTAAGGCTGCAAGTCATTAATATGTATCACGATCTGAAATAATATGTATGCATTTCAAATGTTTTTTGTTAAATTTCACAAGTGTGGATAGTGGAGTTTCTATATTCAGTGGAAGTCGTTCTAGTGTGGGATGAGAAAATCCAGGAAAGAAAACAAAGTTATTCCTCCTGCCAAGGAGACAGTGGGAAACTTGAAACAGTTTCCTGACTGTCCTACATCTTTAGAGACATTTTCTTTCGTTTTATAGTTCCTTTGATCCCTTTCAGCTGATACCGTGCTGTTTGTTCACTGAAGAGAAACAGGTATGTACCTACCAGAGAATCGTCAAGAATGCTTTGCTAATTACACTGCTTTTCTTATACTCACTGTTGTGTTTATCGTTTCAGGAACCTTTTCAGGTGAAAGTGTCTTCCGAAGCACTTTTAATAATGGATTTGGTGAGGACTACATTTTATCTTTCAAAAAGCTGCGATGTGTATGTTGTGTTACTATTGTTTTTTTAAGGGGCAACATCAAAAGATTGAGAGAGACACAACTTTCCATTCAGAGCTAGGAGTGAGAATCGAGTATTAAATAAAGGCCCTAAAGAGGAATTAATTTTTTTTATATAGTGCTTAGTTTTTCTAGAAGGTAAATGGTTGTACGCTAGTAAGAGCGTTACTAATGTCACTGTATGTTAAGTATAATTGCTTGAAGTTACTTTGTAAAACTTTTAGTCTATTTTAAAACAGACTGCCATTTTGCAACCTTATGGGTTCATTTCCTACTACTCTGGGGATTGATTTGCTGATTATAAAGCAACGTGGGGTTTTTAAATAACAACAAGTTGTACCAAAACTGGTGCAGTTGTTCAGCACCGCGGAGGCTTCGGTTTTGAAGCTGGAATTGCTTCATGTATGGAGGCGTTAGACAAATGCACTACATACCTTCATGTATATAATAAGCAAACATCATCTTCTCTGTCTGCTTTCATTTGAAACACTGAGTGTTTGGGAAGCTTTATCTGGCCTAAGTCTTCCTTCTAAATGTCACTGAGAAGTAGGTGTGAAGCCAATGTGTTCTGTGGTGTGCAGATCAAAACGGGGAGAAATTGTACAGCTTGAATGTTAATAGTTGTGTAATATCCTTTTAGCACTCACACGTGTCTATGGCAGAAGTGATAGGGCTGCTGGGTGGAAGATACTCGGAAGCCGATAAAATTGTAGAAGTAAGTGTTTGTCTTTTTTACATTTTCTGTAAAATATTAAAACTGTTAATACATAATTTGACAGGCTGAGAGAGCTGAGGTTGTTGGAGAAGAGAAGGCTCCGGGGAGACCTTATAGCAGCCTTCCAATATCTGAAGGGGAGCTACAGGAGAGCTGGGGAGGGACTCTTTGTCAGGAAGTGCACTGACAGGATGAGGGGTAACGGTTTTAAATTGGCAGAGGGGAGATTTAGATTAGATACTAGGAAGAAATTCTTTCTGTGAGGGTGGTGAGACACTGGAACAGGTTCAACATGGGTTGAATCCCATCCCTGGAGGGGTTCAAGGTGGAAATAAAGTTTGAAAACCCTCATCCCTTAAGAGGAGTCAGGATAAATTCTGGCCATGGGTTGTAGTGGCACATCTTCTCCTTAGTTATCACGCTTGGCTTTGTGCGTGGTTTGTGATATGGGCTGTTGTGATTTTACTGAATTTGATTGACTTGAGGATGTAAGAATTCTCTCATGGATGGTTTTGTGGAGGAGATCTCTGATTGTCATTACTTTCACACTGTTCTGCTACGGCTGTTCCCTCTGTCTCGTAGTCCTGTAGCCCACACAAACTGAGAGTGTATCAAGAGGACACTAATGGCAAGAATTTATTCTGGGCTGGTTTTTGGAATCGCTACTGAAGGGACACTTAAGACATTAAGACAGATTTCATCTTTTTAAAATTGTTTTAGCATCTGTCCGCTGAAGAATTAGCGAGAAGAAGAGAGGAAGAAAAACTGAAACCTGCAAAATCTTCTAAAGGTTCAAGACAAATAAAAAGGTATTGTGTGACGTACGCCGTGTTCAAACGTAGATCATCTAGAAATGGAACAAAAATCTTGGGTTGTGTCAGGCTGTAAGGCTGCAAGTCATTAATATGTATCACGATCTGAAATAATATGTATGCATTTCAAATGTTTTTTGTTAAATTTCACAAGTGTGGATAGTGGAGTTTCTATATTCAGTGGAAGTCGTTCTAGTGTGGGATGAGAAAATCCAGGAAAGAAAACAAAGTTATTCCTCCTGCCAAGGAGACAGTGGGAAACTTGAAACAGTTTCCTGACTGTCCTACATCTTTAGAGACATTTTCTTTCGTTTTATAGTTCCTTTGATCCCTTTCAGCTGATACCGTGCTGTTTGTTCACTGAAGAGAAACAGGTATGTACCTACCAGAGAATCGTCAAGAATGCTTTGCTAATTACACTGCTTTTCTTATACTCACTGTTGTGTTTATCGTTTCAGGAACCTTTTCAGGTGAAAGTGTCTTCCGAAGCACTTTTAATAATGGATTTGGTGAGGACTACATTTTATCTTTCAAAAAGCTGCGATGTGTATGTTGTGTTACTTTTTTTTTTTAAGGGGCAGCATCAAAAGACTGAGAAATACACAACTTCTTTCCATTCAGAGCTAGGAGTGAGAATTGAGTATTAAAGGCCCTTAAAGAAATTAATTTTTTTTATATAGCACTTAGTTTTTCTAGAAGGTAAATGGTTGTACGCTAGTAAGAGCGTTACTAATGTCACTGTATGTTAAGTATAATTGCTTGAAGTTACTTTGTAAAACTTTTAGTCTATTTTAAAACAGACTGCCATTTTGCAACCTTATGGGTTCATTTCCTACTACTCTGGGGATTGATTTGCTGATTATAAAGCAACGTGGGGTTTTTAAATAACAACAAGTTGTACCAAAACTGGTGCAGTTGTTCAGCACCGCGGAGGCTTCGGTTTTGAAGCTGGAATTGCTTCATGTATGGAGGCGTTAGACAAATGCACTACATACCTTCATGTATATAATAAGCAAACATCATCTTCTCTGTCTGCTTTCATTTGAAACACTGGGTGTTTGGGAAGCTTTAGCTGGCCTAAGTTTTCCTTCTGAATGTCACTGAGAAGTAGGTGTGAAGCCAATGTGTTCTGTGGTGTGCAGATCAAAACGGGGAGAAATTGTACAGCTTGAATGTTAATAGTTGTGTAATATCCTTTTAGCACTCACACGTGTCTATGGCAGAAGTGATAGGGCTGCTGGGTGGAAGATACTCGGAGGCTGATAAAATTGTAGAAGTAAGTGTTTGTCTTTTTTACATTTTCTGTAAAATATTAAAACTGTTAATACATAATTTGACAGGCTGAGAGAGCTGAGGTTGTTGGAGAAGAGAAGGCTCCGGGGAGACCTTATAGCAGCCTTCCAATATCTGAAGGGGAGCTACAGGAGAGCTGGGGAGGGACTCTTTGTCAGGAAGTGCACTGACAGGATGAGGGGTAACGGTTTTAAATTGGCAGAGGGGAGATTTAGATTAGATACTAGGAAGAAATTCTTTCTGTGAGGGTGGTGAGACACTGGAACAGGTTCAACATGGGTTGAATCTCCCCCTCTGGTTTTTCCTGGGGAAGCAGGGAAGGGGCACCATCTGCCTGGGGACCGGCTCCGTGCTCCGTGGGGAAGGGAAGTGGTGGCCACATCTGTGCAGTAATTCCTGTTTTCCGTACTGAATTCTGTAATTTGAATAGATATAAATATGATTTCTGAAGGGCAACTAGTTAAATACATTAAAGGTGAAGTTATTTGCTGTAGACCTGGAATGGTAGAATTATGCTCATGTTCAAGTGTTGGCCTGTCAGCTCTGTCACGAGGAAGGAATGGCGTATCGCTTCTAAAATACTACAAATTCAAACTTCTTTGAACTGAGGGAGGCTTTTTTGGCAGGTTTGCGCAGCGGAGCCGTGCAACAGCCTGAGCACGGGGCTGCAGTGCGAGATGGACCCGGTGTCCCAGACGCAGGCCTCGGAGACGCTGGCTGCCCGCGGGTACAGCGTCATCGGGTGGTACCACTCCCACCCCGCCTTCGACCCCAACCCCTCCATACGGGACATCGACACTCAGGCCAAGTACCAGGTACCCCCTGCTCTGTACATTAAAATAGAAATAAATAACAGAAAAACCCAACAGCCTCCCCGATACTTACAACATTAACACGCATTACTGCTCCAGTGCATCTTAAAATCACTTCGTTTATAAATTGACACAGACTCTATTTTTTTTCTTCATTTCAGAATGCTGTGCTGAAAAAGGTTGTATTTCTTGTTTGTGGTTTTCTTTGTGTGTTTCTGTCTTGGTTTTTTTTTTAGAGTTACTTCTCCAGGGGTGGCGCCATGTTCATTGGAATGATTATAAGTCCTTACAATCGCAATAATCCTCTTCCCTATTCTCAAATTACTTGTCTAGTAATTAGCGACGAGATCAGTTCTGATGGTTCCTACCGTAAGTACCGATATTTTATCCATTGTCTTAATTTTTCTTTTCATCTTCTTTTCTTTTCCTCTTTTTCCCCCTAAGGGGAAAAGTGTTGAACTTGAGAAACGTTTATATCTTTATGTTTGTAACTTGTGCTGTGCAAAATGAGGAATTTCACTTAAAAAGTAATCCTGCAACTAGTCTGTGCTGTCAGGACGGGAATATACAGGTATAAAAAGATTGGGTTCCTGTATTAGTGTTTCCCACAATACATCAAAGAACTTAAAAGGTTGGGCCAAGGCTCACTGTTATTTACATATAGGATCCATATGGATAGCAGAGAAACTGCTTTAATAAGCATTTCAGAAGTATTACTTACACTTTGCTGCATTAGAAGATCTGAACAGATCCTCTGATGAGGAGACAGAAGCACGACAGCGAAGAATCGGCTGCTCCAGCAGCTGGAAAATCCTGAGTAACGTGGTACTCGGAAGGTCAAAGGACCAAACGTGCCAGCTGTCCAGGAGATGTGAGAGATGAAATGATGTGCTGGCACCAATCCCAACCTATCAACAAATTCTCGATTAAAAATCATGAAAATGGAGCGTGTTCCTTCCTCGAATAGTTAAGAAAATACCATATGAAATGTGTGGTGCTTCCAGTGATGATCAGATCTTCTCCTCCTTCCCTGACAGAGGGAAATTCCCCTGATAACAGTCTACAGTTACAGCAGCTGCTGCTTCTCTCTCCTCCTCCCTTCCCCTGTTTTAGTCCTGATTTTTGCATCCAGACTCTGAGGTTTCTGGTTTTCTTGGCAAGGCACTCGCAGAGCCCGTGTGAGCGACCGTTCCCCCTCTGGTTTTTCCTGGGGAGCAGGGAAGGGGCACCATCTGCCTGGGGACCGGCTCCATGCTCCATGGGGAAGGGAAGTGATGGCCACATCTGTGCAGTAATTCCTGTTTTCTGTACTGATAGTGTCCTTGTTTTATCCTCATTTCCCATTGCAGTGTGGAGTTAAAATACTTAGAAACTTTATCCACCCTTAGAAGCAGAGTTTTTTTGGTTTTTTTTAACTATTTACTGAAATTCACGGTATTTTTCTTTCTCCCTGATTTTTGCTAAACCGGCTCCGTGCTCCGTGGGGAAGGGAAGTGGTGGCCACATCTGTGCAGTAATTCCTGTTTTCCGTACTGATAGTGTCCTTGTTTTATCCTCATTTCCCATTGCAGTGTGGAGTTAAAATACTTAGAAACTTTATCCACCCTTAGAAGCAGAGTTCGGGGTTTTTTTTAACTATTTACTGAAATTCATGGTATTTTTCTTTCTCCCTGATTTTTGCTAACTGAATTGTGTTCTGCAAGTCATTTTCTGAGCTTGTTTCCTGCTGTCTATTGCTTTCTAAATTCCTCTTCCCCCACCTGCAATAAACTAGAAGAATTTCTTCCTTTAGGAACAAAATTCCTCTGAAATCTAGAACAATAGTTCATACATGAGAAACAAAAACCTTTTATATTCACATAATAACCACAGAGATCTTAGCACCACTTACACTCTTGGAGTCAGTGTTGACTTGACTCCAATTGTGTATGTTGACTCCAATTGAATACATTGAGTATAAAAACTCAATTTATTTTGCCATTTTTCTGTTACTTTGTAGATTTCTGTGTAGTTCCTTACCAGGGCAGGGAGGAGAATGGCTTTTTTTTTGTTTTGTTTTGTTTTTAGAGTTACTTCTCCAGGGGTGGCGCCATGTTCATTGGAATGATTATAAGTCCTTACAATCGCAATAATCCTCTTCCCTATTCTCAAATTACTTGTCTAGTAATTAGCGACGAGATCAGTTCTGATGGTTCCTACCGTAAGTACCGATATTTTATCCATTGTCTTAATTTTTCTTTTCATCTCTGTCTTGGTTTTTTTTTTAGAGTTACTTCTCCAGGGGTGGCGCCATGTTCATTGGAATGATTATAAGTCCTTACAATCGCAATAATCCTCTTCCCTATTCTCAAATTACTTGTCTAGTAATTAGCGACGAGATCAGTTCTGATGGTTCCTACCGTAAGTACCGATATTTTATCCATTGTCTTAATTTTTCTTTTCATCTTCTTTTCTTTTCCTCTTTTTCCCCCTAAGGGGAAAAGTGTTGAACTTGAGAAACGTTTATATCTTTATGTTTGTAACTTGTGCTGTGCAAAATGAGGAATTTCACTTAAAAAGTAATCCTGCAACTAGTCTGTGCTGTCAGGACGGGAATATACAGGTATAAAAAGATTGGGTTCCTGTATTAGTGTTTCCCACAATACATCAAAGAACTTAAAAGGTTGGGCCAAGGCTCACTGTTATTTACATATAGGATCCATATGGATAGCAGAGAAACTGCTTTAATAAGCATTTCAGAAGTATTACTTACACTTTGCTGCATTAGAAGATCTGAACAGATCCTCTGATGAGGAGACAGAAGCACGACAGCGAAGAATCGGCTGCTCCAGCAGCTGGAAAATCCTGAGTAACGTGGTACTCGGAAGGTCAAAGGACCAAACGTGCCAGCTGTCCAGGAGATGTGAGAGATGAAATGATGTGCTGGCACCAATCCCAACCTATCAACAAATTCTCGATTAAAAATCATGAAAATGGAGCGTGTTCCTTCCTCGAATAGTTAAGAAAATACCATATGAAATGTGTGGTGCTTCCAGTGATGATCAGATCTTCTCCTCCTTCCCTGACAGAGGGAAATTCCCCTGATAAGTCTACAGTTACAGCAGCTGCTGCTTCTCTCTCCTCCTCCCTTCCCCTGTTTTAGTCCTGATTTTTGCATCCAGACTCTGAGGTTTCTGGTTTTCTTGGCAAGGCACTCGCAGAGCCCGTTCCCCCTCTGGTTTTTCCTGGGGAAGCAGGGAAGGGGCACCATCTGCCTGGGGACCGGCTCCGTGCTCCGTGGGGAAGGGAAGTGGTGGCCACATCTGTGCAGTAATTCCTGTTTTCCGTACTGATAGTGTCCTTGTTTTATCCTCATTTCCCATCGCAGTGTGGAGTTAAAATACTTAGAAACTTTATCCACCCTTAGAAGCAGAGTTCGGGGTTTTTTTTAACTATTTACTGAAATTCATGGTATTTTTCTTTCTCCCTGATTTTTGCTAACTGAATTGTGTTCTGCAAGTCATTTTCTGAGCTTGTTTCCTGCTGTCTATTGCTTTCTAAATTCCTCTTCCCCCACCTGCAATAAACTAGAAGAATTTCTTCCTTTAGGAACAAAATTCCTCTGAAATCTAGAACAATAGTTCATACATGAGAAACAAAAACCTTTTATATTCACATAATAACCACAGAGATCTTAGCACCACTTACACTCTTGGAGTCAGTGTTGACTTGACTCCAATTGTGTATGTTGACTCCAATTGAATACATTGAGTATAAAAACTCAATTTATTTTGCCATTTTTCTGTTACTTTGTAGATTTCTGTGTAGTTCCTTACCAGGGCAGGGAGGAGAATGGCTTTTTTTCCCTGTTTCCACCAAAATTAAATTTGGAATCCAAAACACGTCGTACTTTTACTTTAACCTCCTCAGCGTTGGCAAGTAATGGGACTGGGAGCTTCTGCAGTCAGTAATGGATTGTGACCAGTTGCATTTAAAACTGAAAAAGAAATAATTGAGTGTACTAGAAACACCAAATAATCATGTTCAATTGATTCCAGGCCTGCCCTACAAATTTGAAGTACAGCAGATGGTGGAGGAACCTCAGTGGGAATTAATATTTGAAAAAACAAGATGGATAATTGAAAAATACAGATTTTGCCATAGGTATGTGTCTCTTTGTATTCTAAAGAATAGCCAGTTTAGAATTTTTGCATGTTTTATTATTGATCTTTCAATGAAGATGTGGCCCTGCTTCCTACAGCACTGCTCTTGTTTTTCTTTGAACAGCAGCGTCCCCATGGATAAAATCTTTCACAGAGATTCTGACCTCACTTGTTTGCAGAAAGTAAGTTTTCTTCTTTTAATTTTTAGCTTTTTTTTTTTAAATTGAAGAGGGTTTTTTTTAAAATGCAAACTATGAAAAGTCAACTGAAGTTACTTTGTTACAAATTAGAGATGTAATCACAATAAATGACTTCTGTAGTGCAGCTTGTTAACTTACAAACACAATGAAAATAACAGTGTCCATCTGAGGGAGTCGGGAGCAGCGGTTGGTAAAATACCCTTGAATTTAGCCCTTGTGCAATTTGATGTTTTAAAGAATTGAGTTTAAATCACCCATGTGTTCCTGTGTGACCATTCCTTTCTAAAACCTCTGTGGTACAGTTGAACACTTTGTATGGTGTTAATCATAAATAAATAAATAAAAATCCCTTTGGAATACTTAACAGCTAGACAGGGAAAAAAATAAATTCAGGAAAAGTGACGATTTAGAAACAATCTCCTTTTCTTTTGACCAGCTGTTGGAGTGCATGAGGAAGACTCTGGGCAAGGTGACAAACTGCTTCATCGCTGAAGAGTTCTTGACTCAGATAGAAAACTTATTCCTCTCCACGTACAAGGGTGAGAAGAAGAGCAATTCCGAAGAGAATGAGCACGAACAAATGAAACACTGATGTGATGGCTTTAACAAAACAAAATTAGGGAACTTTGATTTTATTTTTAAATTTTCTCCTCCTTCTCCCCATTATGTCAACTCTTTCAGAATTATTACCCATTTTAATAGTGACTGTTACAGAATCCGGTGGTATCGTTATGAAAAAGGAGTTTGAGAAACTCCTACTGTGTGTGACCTGACCTCGTGGGGAACATTTAATATGAACATTTTGTAAAAAAAAAAAACAAGTGCTACCGAATGAATTGCTTGACCCACAGTCTGCTGTTTGGGAAGAAGGACAACCCGTCAAGAATCCTGGGCTTCGGCCTTCAAGGAGAGAGGACAAAATCTCAAGTCTTCCCAGTTTGAGATTTTTCTTTTATTTTTTTTATCGGCAGGTCCCCATCTAACTCAGAATGAATTTATTCCTGAGCGCTTTAGAGACCGTAAGTGTGAGTGCATTCATAAAGGAGAAGCTGCACTGAAAGGAAAATTTTATAGCGCTGATTTCACACTTTCCTGGTATCCAGTCTGAAGTTTTATTCAGTTGTAGTTTAATACATCAGCTGATTAATTATTATTTTTTTTTTAATATATTTTTTCTCCATCGATCCCTACGGTCAGGTAGCTTTTTGGCATCTCCTTTGCCATCTTGCTTCTATACTGGGGAGAGTAAGCTGGGGAGTTTTGGTGACGTCTCGGTAGCGGTTGTGGTTGTTTCCAGTGGAAATGCTGACTCCTGTCTTATTACAGGTCCCAAACTTTCAGCTCTTCCCATTCCTCTTCCCCCACCTGCAATAAACTAGAAGAATTTCTTCCTTTAGGAACAAAATTCCTCTGAAATCTAGAACAATAGTTCATACATGAGAAACAAAAACCTTTTTTATTCACATAATAACCACAGAGATCTTAGCACCACTTACACTCTTGGAGTCAGTGTTGACTTGACTCCAATTGTATATGTTGACTCCAATTGAATACATCGAGTATAAAAACTCAATTTATTTTGCCATTTTTGTTACCTTGTAGATTTCTGTGTAGTTTCTTACCAGGGCAGGGAGGAGAACGGCTTTTTTCCCCTGTTTCCACCAAAATTAAATTTGGAATCCAAAACACGTCGTACTTTTACTTTAACCTCCTCAGCGTTGGCAAGTAATGGGACTGGGAGCTTCTGCAGTCAGTAATGGATTGTGACCAGTTGCATTTAAAACTGAAAAAGAAATAATTGAGTGTACTAGAAACACCAAATAATCATGTTCAATTGATTCCAGGCCTGCCCTACAAATTTGAAGTACAGCAGATGGTGGAGGAACCTCAGTGGGAATTAATATTTGAAAAAACAAGATGGATAATTGAAAAATACAGATTTTGCCATAGGTATGTGTCTCTTTGTATTCTAAAGAATAGCCAGTTTAGAATTTTTGCATGTTTTATTATTGATCTTTCAATGAAGATGTGGCCCTGCTTCCTACAGCACTGCTCTTGTTTTTCTTTCAACAGCAGCGTCCCCATGGATAAAATCTTTCACAGAGATTCTGACCTCACTTGTTTGCAGAAAGTAAGTTTTCTTCTTTTAATTTTTAGCTTTTTTTTTTTAAATTGAAGAGGGTTTTTTTTAAAATGCAAACTATGAAAAGTCAACTGAAGTTACTTTGTTACAAATTAGAGATGTAATCACAATAAATGACTTCTGTAGTGCAGCTTGTTAACTTACAAACACAATGAAAATAACAGTGTCCATCTGAGGGAGTCGGGAGCAGCGGTTGGTAAAATACCCTTGAATTTAGCCCTTGTGCAATTTGATGTTTTAAAGAATTGAGTTTAAATCACCCATGTGTTCCTGTGTGACCATTCCTTTCTAAAACCTCTGTGGTACAGTTGAACACTTTGTATGGTGTTAATCATAAATAAATAAATAAAAATCCCTTTGGAATACTTAACAGCTAGACAGGGAAAAAAATAAATTCAGGAAAAGTGACGATTTAGAAACAATCTCCTTTTCTTTTGACCAGCTGTTGGAGTGCATGAGGAAGACTCTGGGCAAGGTGACAAACTGCTTCATCGCTGAAGAGTTCTTGACTCAGATAGAAAACTTATTCCTCTCCACGTACAAGGGTGAGAAGAAGAGCAATTCCGAAGAGAATGAGCACGAACAAATGAAACACTGATGTGATGGCTTTAACAAAACAAAATTAGGGAACTTTGATTTTATTTTTAAATTTTCTCCTCCTTCTCCCCATTATGTCAACTCTTTCAGAATTATTACCCATTTTAATAGTGACTGTTACAGAATCCGGTGGTATCGTTATGAAAAAGGAGTTTGAGAAACTCCTACTGTGTGTGACCTGACCTCGTGGGGAACATTTAATATGAACATTTTGTAAAAAAAAAAAACAAGTGCTACCGAATGAATTGCTTGACCCACAGTCTGCTGTTTGGGAAGAAGGACAACCCGTCAAGAATCCTGGGCTTCGGCCTTCAAGGAGAGAGGACAAAATCTCAAGTCTTCCCAGTTTGAGATTTTTCTTTTATTTTTTTTATCGGCAGGTCCCCATCTAACTCAGAATGAATTTATTCCTGAGCGCTTTAGAGACCGTAAGTGTGAGTGCATTCATAAAGGAGAAGCTGCACTGAAAGGAAAATTTTATAGCGCTGATTTCACACTTTCCTGGTATCCAGTCTGAAGTTTTATTCAGTTGTAGTTTAATACATCAGCTGATTAATTATTATTTTTTTTTTAATATATTTTTTCTCCATCGATCCGTCTTTGTACTGATTTCCCACTTTCCTGGTATCCAGTCTGAAGTTTTATTCAGTTGTAGTTTAATACATCAGCTGATTAATTATTATTTTTTTTTTAATATATTTTTTCTCCATCGATCCGTACGGTCAGGTAGCTTTTTGGCATCTCCTTTGCCATCTTGCTTCTATATTGGGTAGAGCAAGCTGGGGAGTTTTGGTGACGTCTCGGTAGCGGTTGTGGTTGTTTCCAGTGGAAATGCTGACTCCTGTCTTATTACAGGTCCCAAACTTTCAGCTCTTCCCTTCTGCGGGGAGAGAGTGTGTCCTTCTGCCACATGGTTGTGATTTGGCCACTTCTAATTGCTGCTGTTTCCCGTGGAAACAAGAGCTTTTGATTGATGGTGACTTTAGTGCAACAAACAGAAAAATATTTGTCTTTTTAAAAGCAAAAAAAAAACCCACCAAGTTTTCTATTCAGTCTCCTCTATAACGTGCAGTTCAATAAGAAAACCTACTGGTTTGTATCGGTTCTTCAGTTATAATTTCACGCAAGGATATTTCAGATAAATTAGTCATAAACAGATGGAGAAATTTCTTGATTGGAAATATTTCGTGAGCTCTGTCACTGTGAATCTTTATAGAAGAAAAACATGCTTAAAATTTTGCTTTCTAAATCATGAGGAAACTTGGACTGTTGTACAGTTATTACTATTTACACAGCTTTATCTTGGGCAAAGTTTGTCAGAGAGGTCTAAGATATATTTGAAAACATGAATTAAGCAAGACCTTGAGTTTATATCTAGAGGGGTGACAATGGACTCGATTATTATTTAAAAAAAAAATAAATAAAATGTGTGTATATATCTAGTTCTACATAACCTAAATGGAATTTTAAAATTTTATATGTTTACGTTTTTAACTTCAGCTTTTCCTTTGTATGAAGAGTTTGAAAAGCTTTAAAACTGTAGAAGTGCATCCCAAGGAGTGAAGTTAACTTCACTTTTTTTATCATGCCTCATAAAACGTTCGTCTCTCTCTGTTGCTGAGTGGAAGGTGCAGAACCTGATGGTGTGAAGATGTGAGCCCTTGGATATTAATAATATTACTACTGGTGTATTAATTGGATTTAAGGGTGATGTTACACACAGCAGTTTGTCTCTCGAGTGGAGGGGGTGGTGCGGTATCGAGCCTTTGATCTACACACAAAGACTCCAAATTTCCTAGGGAGTTCCTGGGCAGGGTGCTGGGAGCGGGGGGAAATACAACTGGATTAGGATGGTACCAGCAGTTGTATCTCATGATAACGGCTGTGAATTGGAAATGCCACATCTGTGATGCCAAGTCATAATTTTGTTGAAAATAACTAACCTGCTTTTCATAATTTGACTGTGTGATTAATAATCAGAGTTTGGAAGTTGCATGCTTCTGAAAAGATAAAAATCTCTCTTACTAACATTACCAAGTTCTGCTACCAAACACATACAAGGCATTAAATATTTTTATTGGGAAGCTCAGCGGGGTTTGGTTTGGTTTTTTTTCCATCCAGCAATCCCTTTCATGCCGGCTTTGCTCTTGTGTACCTGTGGTGGGACTAATGTGCTCCTTCTTTCTGCAAGACCAGCTCTTACACCTTGCCAGGTTGTTGCTCAGGAGATGGGAAACAGGTCGAGTAACAAGTAGAATGATGCCATTTAAACTGGAAGAGTCAGCAGTTTAAGAAAACAAATAAAAAAGAAAGAAAAACAGGGGGGAAAAAATGTCCAAAGCCCTAAGATGTAACTTTTGGCAAATATCCTTTATGGGTGTTTGTTGGCTGGGTCAGGTTTTGCTGTCCCAGTTATCAGCAGTGTTTATACACAGGAATAGATATATAAATATATAGATATATGCCTTGTGTTCCCAGGGAAGGGAGGGGAATGCTAGTATTTTTAATTTTTTTTTTTTTAAATAAGTAACTTTCCAAGAAGAAATCAGTTGAGGAAAAGAAACAAACCTTGGAAACAAACAAACAAAACTTGAAAACAAACAAACAAAACAAACCCCCCAAACCAGCCAAACAAACCCCATTACCACTGTTACCATGGATATTAACTACTTCTTTTCCATTCGCTTGCTGCTTTGATGCTCCTGCTTGATACTAAACACCTTAAAAGGTGTGTTCTGTTATTTGTAACAGCTCCTTGTCTCCTGAGCTGAGCTTTGGTATTTCCTCCAAGCCGGGATCAATAACCCAGTGCTTCAACTGAGCGTGAGCCGCTAGAGGGGGCTTTGTCACAGCTGAGCCAAAAAGCCTTGAAGTAACATTAAAACTCCTCTGACTCGTGCATGTAAACTTCTGGCTGGTGATGGCGTGTTATGGGCAGCAGCTGGGTACCTGGGTACAGATTGGTTTCTTTTCCTTTGTTTTTACAAACTCTCTCCTTTGGGAAACGATCCTGTAGTGTTGTGTGGCAGGGATGGCAGATCCCTATTTTCACCCAAATTTGATAGGAGTGTGTTGGTTGTAGCTCAGTTTGTGCCAACAGCAGGAGCCAGGTGAGCCCTTTCCAGCTGTGCCGGCAGAGAATTGGCTCTGCTGGGCGTTACTGAGCAGCGGGGACAGCGTTGTGTTGGGGAAAGGGACACGAGGAGGTGACAAGCGAGCAGCGTGGAGGTGTGGAGAGCACCTCGGTGTGGCAGAGCACTGCTCTCTGCAAGAAGAAGGAGAGGTGCTGTGCCGCTGCCAGCCCCACCAAGGGACATTGAGGGACATTGGGGTGCAGGCAGGGTGACTTCATCCGACCCCACGGAGCCAGCGCTTGGGAAGGAGCCGGTTGTTAATAACCCAGTGAACAGCGTAATCATATTTGATACCCAGCAAACTATTTAATAGCCAAGATAAAAGCATTCGGGTTGTTTAATTGGAAATGTCTTGCTGGTTTACATAAACCTAGTGCCCTATTTTTATGAGATTTAGAAATGTGCCGAGAAATTGTTTCCATGGAAGCAGAGATCACTAAAGAAATAACCCACTCCACATTTCCTCCAGGATTATTCCTTTTACAGCCTGCTGTTCTAAATAATTAACTCCTGTAGTACCATTACAGCTTAGCATAGATTAAAGAAAATAATACTTTTTTTTGTTTTAGTGTCATATAATTTATATATACATGGATATTTGGAAAGAACTTTATCTTTACAGTAAGTCTGTTCTGTCCTTATTTACAGAGGGGGAAAGCCACTAGTGCAAAAAAGTCAATGAAAAAGTGCACTTTTTTTGGCAACTTACGCAGCTCTCTCAAGGAAATTTGAAATGATTCCCTCTTTGTCCTTTTCTTGCTGCTGTTCCACACTTTTTGTTTGGTGATGGGTATATTCTGAAACCATCGTTGTGCTTCTGGCAACCTTTGAGGGAAGAGACAGTGCAGTTTTTCATTAAGGTAATGGTGATGAGGATCCTCCTCCAGTAGGGAAAACACCATCTCCTTTAGTTACCTGTGGTTCTTCTCCCATATGTTACTTTTGACAAACCAGTTAATTTTTCTCCAGTGTCTGTAAAAACTGTCAACTGATAGAATCATAGAATGGTTACACTTGGAAGGGACCTCAAAGATCATCGAGTTCCAGCCCCCCTGCCCTGAGAAGAACCAGCTTAAAGTGCAGCTTGTTGATTTCTCTAGGAATTGGGTACTAGATGCCAGTTGTTTTGGAAGAAGAACCTGTTTGGTGGGTCTGATTTTTATGTCGATAAAGGCAGCAGTACATCTGCATATAGAACAAGTAG